TCTTTTAATTCTGCAAAAAAAAAAAAAAAAATCTGAATTTATTTTTGACTTTTTAACTGTAACTTATTATTGCGCATACAATTTTCTTTCTTTTTTTTCCAAAAAAAAAAAAAACAATAAACAAATAACTTTTCCATTATATATTTACTTAACTCTCTAACAAATTAACTTTATAAACAAAATATAATATATGGAAAAAAACATTTCCCTTCAATAAAAATAAGTGAGTAATAACATAATTTTTTTTTTTTTTTTTTATCAGAAATGAAGCAATTTGTACGAATTTTAAACACAAAAAAATTGGTTTTTTTTTTAAGCAAAAAAAAAGAAAATGCAAAATAAGTTTTCAAGTGAAAATTAACTGATGGCTGACAATAAAGACAGAAAAAAAAAAAAGCAGAAATTGAAAATTTTAAATTAGCTAACAGCTAAAAAAAGGAAAATTAGAATTTAAATGTATATTATAAAACTACTATATATGAACGAGCAAAATGAAACGACTGAAAAGTTTAGGGTTTAAAGGTTATTATAAAACAACATTATAATTTATTTTACAGCAGTTGGATGGTAAATGAAATGGTTAAAATTTTTATTTGAAAAGAAATCGAAGAAAAGTAAGGAAGAATGAGAGAGAGAGAGAGAGAGAGAAAAAAAAAAAAAGGAAGGACGGGAAAGAAAGAGAAAGACAAAAATTTCATCGAGCAATGAACTCTAACAACGATGTAATTAATCGGCAAATAACTTATCAAAAGAAAAGTTGAGCTTATTTACTGAAATTTGATAGGTTTTCTTTTTTCTTAAAATTTTATCTCCATTTAAAAAATTTTTCAGAAAAAAAAAAGCGAGAAACAAACAAACAAATAAATATTAACTGAAATCTAACGTTTCACTTTGTTTCTTCCTGCAAGACATTGCTATTGATAAATGCTTGAAGACTATACTCGTCATTTAATTCCATTCTATAAAAAAGAAAGTTGAAATTATTTGAACTGATTTTATCGAGAAAAAAAAAATTAAAATGCATGCAAAAAAAAAAAAAAACGAAAAAAGATGTAAGATCAAAGTAAGATACCTACAATTTGATAATGCAATGTGATAGAAGATTCCCACTTTTATAGCAATGTTAAAAATATCAAACTACAAGTAGCGATTTGATAAAATTACTTTGCAGAATCAAAATTAAATGCTAATCAATTTGATATGAATGATCTGTTTGTTGCTATTTAATTTACTAATTAATAAGCATTTTTCAAATTTTATAAAACAAAAAAAAGGGTTCTCAATTTAATCAAATGTTTGCTAGAAAACAAAAAAAAAAAAAAAAATGGTTTTATAATTTAAAATAATTTAATTGATTTCTTTTTTCATCTTATAAAAATTAGAAATTAAAATATTTTTTGCTATTTATTAATTGATTACTGGTTATTAAAATATAAATGATGATGATTTATTATCATTCTTATAACAGAATTCAATGTAGTTTATCATAAATATGAAGAAAAAAAAAAAAAAAAAAAAGGAATGAAAGAATTGAAGGTGATAATTTCTATGAAATAATTATTAATAATTACGGTAAAATAGAATGCCGGTAAAGATACAACAATTCAATCATCTGTAAAATATAATTTTTAAAAATATATTCTTTTACAGAACATATAAATCACACAAACATTTTTTTATATTTGAAGACTATGACTAATTTTAATTTAGCTGCTATTTTGAAAAATTATAAGACGTTTAAAGATGCTATTATAATCAAATTTTTGCATATGTTTCCATCTAATCTTGAATTTTTTAAAATATATTTTATCCAGTGGTATCATAGTACCATAATCCCATAATGATTAATAATAATACTTCGGTATATACCTGAATTTTCGATTATGTCCAACTCACAATGATGAATTCTCATAATAATTCTTGAATTATATAAGGTGACTTTTTTTCTTAACTTTTAAAGTTTATAAATTTGATCTCAACTAGCGGGAAATTATCCACCATGAACAATGTAACAGAAACGATAAATCGTAGAAGTTTTTTCCGTTTCACAAACAATTTCCGCCCATCTTTATGTGCTCATTTAAACAGGAAATGGATAATGAAAAAAGAAAAAAAAAATTCTCATAATAAATGTAATGGTACAATATGAATTATAAATTAATCAAATAATAGTAATAATAATAATAATTTTGAACTGTTAAATTTTCCAAACTATTATAATTTTATAAATTTAAATGAATGATTACTAATAATGATATTATGATGCACATATACTTGAAAATTATTCCGCTTCTTCTTCATTAAAAAGTTTTTTTCTTTTTTCACAAACTTTTCCAAAATTTATGCGACTATTTTTGACATTTTAATGATTTATTTATTGAAATAAATAATTTGAAAATTTTCTTATTTGGACCAAACCAAAATTACATAGATAAGGACTCGTAAACATTTACTGTTACAGGTACCGGAATAACGGTATAGTTTTATCTCAAATCTTTCGAAATAGAAAATGATGCATTGTCAACTTCAGTTATTAAATTCTTTGGTCAATTTATTCCATTTTTAGCCTAAGTCAATCGTTAGATGATAGTTTAAATTAAATTTCAATTTGAATATATGTTCGCTTCACTTTTTTCAATGTTATCCAATTTCTTCCCTTGCTCTCCTTTTCAATCAGTTCATAACAGAAGAAATAAATGTAAAAGAAAAAATAAGATGAGAGAGATTTGAAGGAATTTTCATTGAAAAATGATGGAATTCTTTTTTCTCCTTTTTTTTAAAAAAAGTTTAAACTATAGCATCTTGACAAAAAAAAATTAAAAACTATAGCATTATTATGCTTTAAGATTCAATACAATGATTAATGATTCAAGCAGTTATGAAAACTTTTTGCAAATATGTTTTACATATTTTAATGATTTTGAAATGGATGCATCTAAAACTGGTCCTTGACCTAATGGAAAATGTAACGTATTCTAACATTTGAAGTTCATTTCAAATAATTTTATTTTATCTTTTTTATTTTTTTAAATTAAAAATGAATTACTTCATTCCTCACCTTTCTTATCTTCACTTTTTATAATTCATATCCATCATTTTTTCCATCTCTGGCTTTTAGAAAATTTTAATTTTTATTTCTGATTCATTACTTTTTATCGTATTGTTATTGTCTCATCAATATTTCTTTTTATAATAATCTCCATAAAATCCTTCTTGACATTTTGAGTGACATTTCAAGCTTATTTTGTTCCATTGCTTCCTGATACGTATATTACTTTGAAATTTGTTCCAAAAAAAAAAAAAAAAAATTGATCTTTGATTTGGATATTTCTTCCAAATTACAACCAATGCATAATCCATTTAAATTTTGAAACTTTCTCCTTTTTGAAAATTAATATTAAATTCTGATTGTTGCATTTGAAAATTTCAATGCTATAGTAAATATCATTTACATATACATTCGGATTAAATTATCTATCAAAATGAAACCGTTGAAAAGAGAGAAAAGGAAAAGAAATGAAAAAAAATCTGAAACCATTAACAATAATTACTGTTACTTTCATCTTATAAATTCCATTTCCTCATAAATCCCTCCTTATTTAAGGAATGAAAAACATCCATTCCTCCCTCTCTCTCTCCCGTCTTCTACTTTTTATTTCATTTTTTTTTTTTCTTTTTGAGATAACTTGAAAGAAGAAGGAATTCTTGTATGATTATCTTAAAATAGAACAGACATGAAAATGGATAAAAACTTTGAACAAAACGATATAGAAAGGAAGAGAAAGGGAGAAAGAAAAAAAGTGAAAAAATCAATAGAAAATGTCTAATTAAATAAAAAAAAAAACAGAATATTTTGAATACAAAAACAAAAAGAAAAAGAAAAAAACTATTCATAATATTATTCATTCTATCGTAAAAATGGACAATTAATTTAAAAAAAAAAAAAACAATTTAATTATGAAAAACTGTCACAAAAATATGATTTTGACCTATTTTTTTTTTCTTTTTTTGTTTTTCATGTTTTTGATTTTTCTTTTGGATGATTAATTTAAGTTATTTCGTTTCCACATCTTATTTCATTTACCAGTTCTCAAACAATAATTTATTTAATTTTTCGTTTTTTTTTTTTTTTTTTTTGTTTAATGATTGTTAAATATAACGTTAAAGTCAGAAGAATTCCGAATTACTGTTTAAATCTTCGGGAAATCTTTTCTACATTCTGAAAACTTTCCGTTAAAACTTTCCGAAATCACTGGAAGAAACTAGCGATATTAATGATTTTTTTTTCTTTTTTTTGTCCTTTTAATCTAACCAATAACTTTTTATTTATAAAGTTTTTTTCATTCCTGCACTTTCAAATTTAAAATATCTTGCAAAACGATATAAACTAGATTTCGTCTCCTTCATAAATAATATCCGAAAATATGAATGTATCCTCAATTAACAAATGAATATTTTTATGCGATTAATTAGCAAATAAAAAGAATAAAATTTTGTTATATTTCCAAATATTTTGGAATATTTTAGGAAAATGCATAAAATGTGATTGAATAATGTGCAAAAATGTGATCACTCAAATTTTGTTATACTGAATTTTAGTTTAAACTTATTTAATTCTTGAAACGATTGATTGGTTGCTGTTAGAATAATAGAGAATTAAATGCACAAATTGTTTTTCTTCCTTGCTTCTTCTGATTGTTTGATGTTTAGTGTGAGAAGAGTTCGAGATGAATAAGTTATGTGATTCATTCAACAGATGTTCATATGAAAATTAGCTATAAATTATAATTTATGGCATTCATCGATGATTTCGATTATTCGCGAAATTGTTTTTCATGCGTTCATAGTTATTCACGTGTTTGTTCAATATACTGAATTGTTTTCTAAATTATCGTTTTTTTTTTTTTTTTTTTTCTTTCTTCTCAAATAGTAAACGCAAATTTAACTCTTGGAATGGAAATGTATTTTTCTAAATTTCGGAAAACTAATTTCAGGATTAAATGTTGGGCCTTAAAAGACGACCTCATAAACGTCGAAATGCAAATATACATCTGAGACGTTTAACACAAGCTTATCTTACAACAGTTAATCAGTTCCAACCATTGGTCGTTCGTACTGCATATGAGAAAGTGGATAGTGTCTACTACTTAGGTTAGTACACTATAAAAAATAATATCTTAGACTTAGGTACGATCTCTTTTTTTTTTTCTTGTAACATTCCTGAAACGAATGAAGAGAATGTTATTAGCAGGTTTTTTTTTTCCACGATATTCCTGGCATTTTATGTGTTTCCTAAATGAAGTTAAAGTAAATTCCAAAGTACTAATACAAATTTGAACAGCGTTTATTGAATAGATTTGGGATTTTGTTTGTTGAGAATGCTGTCTATATTATTCTGTTGCAGTGCAAAAGCTTATACTGAATCAACAAAGTGTAACTAGCGGATTGTTTCCACGATATTCTGAAAAATGTGAAATTGGCTTTGTCAAGGATAGCATTTATTGTGCTTTGGCATGTTGGACTTGTTCTATTGCATACAAGTAATTTCGTTTCGTTCATTTATGACAGTATTAAGGATGGATTGAGTTGAATTATCAAAAATGAGAAGTGAGGGAACATTGCTGAAACTGAGCAAATTCAATATCACGTCCTAAAATTATTGTTCCTGATAGTTTTACAGACGACTGGACGATGATCGAGGACGACAAACGGAACTGAGACAATCGGCAGTGAAAGCAATGCGAGGGATTATGTTTTGCTGGATGCAAGAGCTTGATAATGTATGTTAAAGTTATTGAAATTGCATTTCCTCTTTAATGTTTAGGATTTTTTTTTTTGTTGAGAATGCATTCATGAATAGTAAATTATACAATAGGTCAAGCATTTGTTAGGAATGTCTCAACGGAATGGAAATTGGCATGTTAATAAAAAGTAAACTTATAGATTAATTTTTCCAAAAATATTCAGAATATTTGAGCTATTTTACAGTTCATCAGATATTCCGATCTCTTGTCATCTTTCAGCTCAATCATTTCAAAGAAAATATTTCACCAGAATTCTCTTTACATGCACGCTTTGATTTACACACAGGCATGGTTCTTTCAACACCAAACGAAAAGGTATGGTCAAAGATATTGAAAAGTTTTATCTAGAGATCTGAAAAAGAAATTCTCTGATCAGTTTACGGTCTACAGCATCTGGAACCGTGTTTTCCAGAAGAAATTATAATTTATATGGAGACGCAAGATGGGATTACTTTTGTTTTTTGTTGTATTGATGTCTTTGCCAATGCTTCTTTCGTCTTCCTTCAATTCAGCTTTTGAAAAGACTCCAAATTCTAGAAATATGGACATTTACAAATGGATCTTATTGCGTTATATCTCTTGGCTTTGGTTCAGATGACTGCAGCTGGTATTCAGGTATTTTTGCTTGTATATTGCCATTTCGAATCCACCCTTTTAATTATCTTCAGTGATGAATTTCAGTCGGCGGAAGCTGGAGAATAACTCAAGCTATAAATGCCGTATAATTATGCGTTATCACTATTTCATGCTTAATTAGCTACTCTATTCTTTCTATTTAATTGTTGCTATCGTTCATAAGAGAAATTGTTTTATAATTATTCTCCTTCTTTAAAAATAGTTAGCAGTTATAAAAAACTTTACAATCTTAGGGAAGAAAGAATACATCATTGTGCTGTAACAAACTGGAATTTTTTACTTACATGATCTTCCAAAATATATATTAGGTTTCTGAATTGGATTTTGGACTTCTATTATTTTTGAAGATCAAGAAAAAACAATGTATATTTGTAACTATTTCCAGACTTCACAGTTTACATTTGCCTTATATATATATATCTGTGATCTAGATCATATTTCAGTTATGTTGTTGTGATTCTCAGCTAGTGACTTTTAACAGGTAATTTACACACACGATGAGGTCTGTTTTGTTCAAAATCTTGTTTTCTATATCGAACGAACTTATCGTACACCGGATTTTGGTATGTGGGAAACAGGTTCGAGATACAATGTTGGTGAACGTGAACTTCATGCTAGCAGCTTGGGGATGGTGAAGGTATGCTTTGGCTACTGTTTGATTTTCGTTTTACGCGTACATCCAGTTGTAGTAAATAAGATGAAAAAGATTCTTGTCAGAAATTATATAATAAGAAGTCAAAACATCAGGTGCTTCAAGCAGTACAGATTTTGTTTTACCACTTCTTAAACACTCAATTTTTTCAAAAAATGCGTAAAATTTTATCCAGTCCTATGTAGTCTTCATACCTACAGTTTTCTAATAAAGTCATGAAAATTTTCAATTTTTATGAATATATTAAGTACTTATTATTCGATCTATGTTATGAAATATTCCTTATAGGCTGCGTTGGAAGCAATAAATGGTTTTAATCTTTATGGGACGGCTGGGACTAGTTCATCTGTAATATATGTTGATATTGATGGACATAATAGGAATCGTACTACTTTTGAAACGATTTTGCCTAGGGAAAGCAATTCAAAGGTAAGTGTTCGTTAGATTTAGGGTTAAGAATTCGGCCATTTGAAAATTAAAAATAATTTGGAATTATTACAGAATACTGACGCTGCATTGCTGCTATCGATAGGATGGCCGGCTTTTGCAACGCATGATCCGGAACTCTATGAGAAAACATTTAACAAATGTATTCGACGTCTGGAAGGTCGATATGGATTAAAGAGGTAACTCGACATCAAAGTTTATGATGTATCTTGGTATCCCTTTATTATCTATTGTTTAATGCATTTTCTTCTTTTTTTTTAAGATTTCTTCGGGATGGCTATCGCACCGAACTTGAAGATGCTTCGAGACGATATTACGAGGAGCACGAAACATCGCGCTTTCACAATATTGAATGCCAATTTCCAGTGTTCTTCGCTTATATCGCAATTACTGGTTTTTTTTTTTTTTTTTCATTTTTTTCTTTTGAAATGCATAGTATTTAGTACAGTATTTGTGAAATGTTTTAATATTCTTATTTCGATTTTTAAGGTTTTGTTTTTCAGCTCATCTTCGTGGGGAGCGAAAATTATCTCATTCATATTGGCAAAAAACCAATGAAATGCTTGTTTCGAGTGAGAAAAGTTGGTTCTACCATTTATGTTTAATATTTTTAAAGAAATTTGCTGCGTACTATGGTTCGTTATAAAGAAGAAAATGATGTAGTATAATCGTGAAGATATGTGCTGTTAATTGAAACTGTTTTAACGCATCTTTAGCATCATGTTTGATAATGCCGGAGTGTTACATTATTAATGAAGAACATATGGATGCTGAAAGAATGAAACCAAATTCTCAGAATTTTTATCCGGCGAATCCATGCGAGTTTGGTCACCATCTGTGGTCTAATGCTGTTTATCTAATAGCATTGCTTTTAAGTAAGATTGTTTTTTTTTTTTGGAATTTTGGGCAGTTGTTTTTTAGTCTCATGCATACTATTCGTAGTCTTTCATTTGTGCAAGTACGAGCGAATTTTAATGAGTCAACAGTACTCTTGGAATGCTTGTATCCTTGTGAGTCCTATTTAATGATTTGTATATAGAACCGAAAAAACCCTTAATTCAAACTAACTGCTAACATAATGACTTAAATTTTTTAGAGGATGACTTCGTTCATTTAACAGACATCGACCCAATCTGTCGACATCTTCCAGCTAGTCAACGACCAAAATACCAGAATCGTCATTCTGTATTTCAGGTTAATATCATCAAGATTTTTTCGCATATAATAATAATAATAATGATAATAATAATAATAAATCTGAGGAGAAAGAAGCTGGTATTTCTTTGTTTGAAACGTTCAATATTCTGTTTAGCGTGATATGGAGCAAACAAAAGGAAGCGTAAGTTTGTTTTAAGTAGTAGATGCCTGCGTTTCTTTTATTTATCATATCAGATTTTATTTTACAACGGAAACGACAGAAGGACTTTCCAGCAGGTAGAAAAAGAAGAAAGTTTTCTTTTGCTTCATATTAAATTTTTTAACAAGAAACAGTTGCTAAACAACATTTTAAATTAACGAACGATTTCGAAGTTTTGGGAACTATATTTTGGAGGTGTTTTATTCTGCTTCTTTTATTTTGTAATTTGAGTGTTGTGTTCATTCGCTTCCTTACCAGTTATTGACCCAATTCCTATTCACACTCGATACAATTTCACATCTTTCATCTTACACGACTGTAAAGAATTTAAGCAACGGAATACTTTTCGTTATTTCTCTCAGACACCCTGAGAGTTTTCCGAAATATCCGGACATTATGGGGCATTATTTATGGAAAGAAACATTTAAATTCATCCTGTCTGTATAAAACTTCGAAACATCCAGAATTTTTTTTTTTTCATAATTTGCATAAAAATTCTGGAAAACATGGGTTGCAGGAAAGCACCCTGTTAAATGCATGTTATATTTGGTTTTCACTAAAAGGTTATTGCATGCCTTCTGGATTCCTCTAATGAAATCCATGTTTCGAATTTTTAGTCGAATAAGTCATACTGAAGGTGAAGTTGATGCTGTATCTTGATTATTTATAAACCCTTAAATTTCTCTTGGTTTTTTTTTTTCTTTTTTTATTTATCGATCCGGGTTTCTACTTATTGGTTTTTCAGTTGTCAGCAGTGTTGCGATATGCTTGTTTTTTTGCTAATAACTGATCAGTTTGTACTCGCATCGTTGACAACTTTAATTTTTTAGGTCATTAGCCTAGAAAAGTTTTTCTCTGCTTTGTTTCATCGATTATAATATTAACCGGAGAAACTCATGCATAATCTCTTTCAGAGTAGTATGGAAGGTGATCCGGTAGTTCAGGTTGTTCTGATTGCTGAGTCAAGTCGTTTGCAAATGATGCTTTCGACATATGGCATTGACACTCAAACTCCACACGATCTTGAGCCAGTAAAAATTTGGCCGAGTTGGCGAATGGTGAAAGTGTGTTTTTATCTAAAATTTTTGGCTGAATCATATATCACTGTTTGACTGAATTGATCTAGGGAAAGAAATGATTTCTCCGATTTTGTGTTTTGGCAAATTTGCATTAAGTTATTATTCATTTAGATATTTTAGAATATTCACTCTCTTCTCTTCTATATGCTCGTTTAAGATTAATATTGAAATTGGAGAATTATTAGGCAAAAATATATTATTACCAATGCTCACTTATTTTCCAGGTCTTCGAATCCTTAGGAAAGAATGAAAAGATGGGCTTGAGTGGCCGACCAGGCCGGCCATTTGGTCCTCTTAATACGAGTAAAATTTTCAAACGTTTTGGTGATACTATTCTTTGTTATCCATTATTGTTCGAAGTGAAAGACTTTTATATCAATGCAGATCCGGCTGTATTAATCAACGAAATTAAGGTATTATTATATTCTAGCTTTTTAATGGTTAATGACAATGAATGAGGAGTCAGGTCTTCTCAGAAAATGATTGAAGTACAGATGGCATTTATGTTGTTAGGTGAACCGTGCAATCATTTGGTGCCGAATGTCTTGCTTTGTATTGGCCTCTTGAAACCAAGGATATATCATGCTGAATTCGCTGCTGGTTTAACGTTCGGTGGTTCATATTTATATTGATTGTCCTGCTTTTTCTGTTCAAAAATAGCAGTATCTTCCTGGATCCATTGAGAATGCTGGAGACTACTTCTGTCTTGCTTTTACTGCACCCAACTTTTGTCCTTTCTTCCCACAATGAGTTTTCCAAGTTGCACTTTGTTGGAGTATCTTCTTTATTTTTAAGGAGCTCCTAATTTTCTTCAGTTTGCAGTTAAATTTGGAATTTATATCGAGAAGATGGAAGCTTACCGGTCGTCCCACATTTTGCATGGTTTTACGAGGCGAGATTATGAGTGGCGAATATTTCAGTCATATGTTGGATTTGTTGATCTCATTGAAGAACGGTTGTATCAGTGGAGTACGAGTACGAGTTGGTAGACTTCATGTGAGTTATTTGAGGCGAACATCTTTGCAAAATTTTGCTAGCTCTGAAATTTCATAGCTTCTATTATGGTTTTGTTATATTTGAAACTTTATTCTAATTAAGAAAATGAAATTTGGGGGGAAATTCAAAGGCGAAGTAGAGTTCTCGTTGTATTGTTGAGGACTTTTCTATCTTATAAAAGCTACAGGTTATTCAAGTCATTTAGACAGCTCATTTTAGATTTCAGTGCAATGTCAGTTTTAATTAGATCTTGGTTAGGCACTAGAGAAGAGAAGGTGAAAAATGAATTCTTGGTGTTGAAAGAGTTTTGCACACTGAAGCGATTCTTAGAGTTTCCAACTGAACCTATAAGTGAGTTAGAAGTTGCTGGTTGAGGTAATTAGTGGGCCATAAAAAAGTTCAAAAAGGAAAAAAAAAATTGTGCGATTCCAGCAACTTTTAAATTCTGGATGTATGGAACACGTCGACTTTGCTACTGATAGTGATGGCAATTATGACGATTTTGAAGAGTTTGGCGATACAGATTCACAAGTGATTTCTCGAGTATCGATACGAGATATTCATGAAGATGACACCCAAAGTACTGAGGTATCAATATTTTTAGTCTTGACGATATTGGTTTTTGTAATTTTGATTCGAAAATTACTGACGAATAAATTCAATGCGATGAATAAAACAATTAGAATTTTGAACAGTTGGAAAATTTTTCCTTAGGCGTTCAGAATGGAAATTGATATCATTAGAGGGTCAATTGAGATTATATTTATTCGTTATTACTATGCAAAAAAGAATTGCTTTTTCCTGTTTTGTCCATCGGTAAAATTTCTTTAACTAATGTCATTACAGCGTGATTATAATTGTAAGCCGGATGAGGAATTATTTGATGTAGTTCGAAAGCACAATATTGATGCACTTCGTAGGGTGGCATTTGCAATTGTGATACTCTCTCAACGGTATGGAATGGGATGTATTGTTGATGACGGTGGGTTATTGACAAGAATGGCGAAACAAACTTTCATAGATTCTTTTTATCATATCCTATTAATCTGCAGCGATGTTTAGCTTGATCTTGATGTTTCTTGACCAATTATATTGTGTGGTTTAGATCATTGTTTTAAGTTTTAGTTTTCAGAGACTTTGGAAGTGCGTTTGGAACGTGTTTATCGTCAGGCATGCGCTAGGCGTCGTTGGTGGGTAGTTCGTTACTGTGCTGCAAGGCTCCGGAAGGTGACAAATTCATTAGCACCTGGCATAACAAACATGCTTGTTAGAGGAAAACAGGTTTCTAAATTTTTTGATAAATAAAGATATGAAGCTTTTATTTCGTTTCGAGCTACCAAATGCTTTTAACTTTGCCTTTAACTTTGCTGAATTAGCAAACAAGTAAAAAGGTATGAAATATTGGCCTAAGCAAATAATTGATCCTAGAAATCATTATTGACTATGTATTGACATAATTGCTCAATTTTTGATACGAAAAATTTTTCGAACACCATATGTTTTTTTCCTAAGTTTTCATTTTTGAAAATTTCCAGATCACTGTTGGAGTCAGTGGTTGTCGAGAAATGACTATAACAGCGCCGACAACTCCGGATGAAATAGCCGTAGCGTTATTTGATTCATATCCAGAAAATGAACCGCAGGCTTCTGTCTTACAGCAGGAGCTTATTATTGCATGCTCTGATTTAGTACGTTTTGTTTCCTGTCTTGAAATAATTGTGACATTTTGGTGAATTCAAAATGAATATCGACTTATCTTGCAAATTGTGTTGCTCATATGAAATCTCCAGATTTATTTTTAACTGGTCTAGAATTTTTTTTTTGAATTTCTATATGCTTAGATAGCGCAGAAGCCGTATGCATTTGATGGAGTGCTGACGATTCGATTAGCATGGTTATCTGATGCTATGTCACTAATGCTTAATTATATGCGAAGTGCAGGAAGTGTGAAAAGGGGTTCCGTTGTCGGAATGTTAAATAAGTCAATTTCATCGACACAAGCAAATTTTTATGCGAGTAAGTTTTCAAAAATATTGCAATTCAGGTTCACCATTTGTTTCATTTATAATTTTAATCACTTCTAATTGCAGAGAAATCTACCGTTATGAGACTAGGTTTGATCCACATTTCATTTAAACATTCAACTTTTTTTCTGCGCATTCATTTTTTGCTCTAGTTCAACTAATTTTGCTCATTAGTGATAAACTACTGCTTTAACTTTTTTTTTTTTTTTTTTTTGCTGTGTTTGTTCAACGCTCGAGCTAACCGTTGGCATAATTCATTAGTGGAACTTTAGAAATGAATAAATTCCTTTGTTCTCACTTCACTTGTGGATCAAGTTAAGATGTAACTTGGATTACTACAATCGATGCAGATTCTATTGATGATAAAACTACTGCAAATTCTATTAAAAAATGAAAATCTTGAAATTCCCATCTTTTTTTTTATTGGATTTTTGGCAGAACTAATATTCCCTGCCCTGTTGCTCGTAACCCAATACTTGCTGTCATGAAACACACGTGATAATTAAAATTACATATGAAGATTGCGATTAAGGTAGGACATAGATTGCTTGATTTTTTATGTTCATTCTCATTGCTATTACATGCTTGGCTAATACGCTTATAAGTTTAAATCATATCATTTTTCTCGTCTCTTTTTTTTTTTTTTTTTTTAAAGCATTCCTTTTTTTCTAGAGCTTGGTGAAAACATAAGTGTTTACGATCTATCACCAATTCTTGTTAAGGATGTTGTTGCTGCACTGTTGACCAGAAAATATTGGCACTTGCTGTATGTGATTATTAAATTGTTGTGAAGATCGTAATGTTTTTATTGCTTCTCACAAATTATTATAATGTTTGAAATTATAGCGAGACATTTCTGTAAAGTATTTTAAATTAAATCCACAATATATGTAAGAATAGAACTCAGCTATGCATAATTTTCACTTTCATTTCCGATTAAATGGTACACTTTTTCACTTATCTTTTTAGAACCCCTTTGCAATCACGACGCTTAAATGGTTCACTAAATCGCGTACCACCTAACTTCTATGATAGCGTTTGGAAAATTTTAGAACGTACACAAGGTGGTATCGTCATCGCTGGACAACACCTTCCTCAGGTTTCTTCATAATCAAGTTTTTTTTTTTTTTTCTTTTTACTTCAGCTTTTGAAAGTACTTAAAAGTCACAGTTCTACAATCCTGACAAACTAAAATTTACCCGTCGATAGCTCTTAAAATTTCATAGCAGTATTTGCATAACATTTCAGTTATATTTCTCTTGTCAACCATATGTCTTATTTGTTCTTTCACTTTTTTTTCCAGCAACCAACATTAAGTGATATGACACCATTCGAATTAACTTTCTCATACAAAATTGAATCTATGATGAGTGCTATCGAGCATCCAGAATATCGCCAAATTCTTGTGGAAGTATGGATTTCTTTCGTTTAACAAATTTTATAAATATATTCTTTGGAAATCATAGGATTTTAAAGTTTTTAAAACTTTTACTTAAACAAAGAATCCATTGGATCTCCGTAACAGTTATTATTTATTACTGAACAAAAGCAGGGACCATGCATGTCTTGACGAAATTTCTTTCAGCTACTGTGTATAATCGCCGTTATTTTGGAACGGAACAGTGAACTGATATTCAGTAATAAGCTAGATTTAGATCAGGTGTTGCTTTTTGTTTTTTGGCCCAGTATTTTTACACATTTCACTATACGCCATTCTGTGTACAATTAAGGGTCGTATTGCATGATGTTCTTGCGCAAAAAATGTTTATCATCCCAGTTAGAATATCTCACGAAAAAAGTTCAATATTTGCAAAAATGCAAAAATATTGTTTTTGAAATTTCAGCTCATCTCCACAGCTTTTCGACAATATTGTTCAGATCATGATATTGCGGACGGGAATGATATGACGCCGTTCTATGAATTAAACGATTCTGACTTGTCAAAAAATTCAACAGCTAGCTATTTTGCTCGTGTAGCTTTTTGAGATATTGATGATATTCTCTCTTCGCTGATTAGAAGTTTTTAATAATTTAAATATTAATTGAATTACGCTGACCATGCTCGTTTTCTCGCTTTCGATTTATTGTGTTAAATGATAAGGAATAGTGGTACATGTTTAGCATATTTACAAATCGTTTGACATTTTTCAGGCTGTAATTGATTCTTTGTTGAATGGAATATGTCTCACAAAACGTAAAATAACTACTTTTATGCCAAGCGACTCATTGTCATGTGCTCCTGCGTCTAATCCTGAACGATCTGACAACCAAGGATATAATGGTTGTTTGGTGAGCTAACAGGAATCATATATACTAACAAGATATATGGAAGATACTAGGATATATTGAACCGGTATGTAGCAGCTTGTCATAGGAAATCCAAAATATTTAATAGTTAATAATAATGAAGTGCCTTTAAAATAATGTAGCTTTAGTACCCATACACGCTTTCATTATTTTTAATTGTATCTAGTCCATATATTTTTCTCCCACAGGGACAGAAGCATCTTCAAATTAGGAAGAAATAGAAAAAATGTAGAAGAAAAGTCCTACAGTTATAGAGTAGTTATAGAAACTTTTGGAGAAGTGATTTTGTATAACTGGTTATAAAATTTAGTATGCTTCTGTTCTACACAAATGCCTTTTCGCGGTTAGAAGATGGCGCTGATCTATATATCATAGTTTAGAATGTTTTGCTAAAATACTCCAGTACTTTTCCTCTTGCTGCATTTCAAACTAATCTTACAAACCATTATTGCTATATATTATCTTCCCTTATGTTTGACTTTGTGGTAAACATCCTCTGGTCTCTTCCAAATAAAATGAAGCAACACTTTGTTATGACCTGTGCAGACGAAAATTAGTATGCGAGGTAGAAGCAAAAGTGGGCGCTTGCACTCACGTTATACTGACTTACGTCCTTTACTATTCAAGGATGTTAACGAGGATAAAAGCTTTTTGTACGTCATATCTTTTTTCAAGCAAATAATCATAGATTCTGGCAAGACTTCTGTTTATGAAGTGCATGTATATTATACAATAAAATGTATGTATTAATAAAGAGACAACTGCATCCAGTAACATCGAAAATTCAGGGGAGTTCGGTATAGAATGTACGGAAAATGATCCAAATTCATATCAGCCGCTTTGTAAATAATTCGTAAATACAGATATCACAGATCTAACAGGGATTTATACAATGGAAGACCCAAAAATAATCCTGAACCTAAATCACTTTCTAGAAGCTTACATCCGCAAATTTCTTCACATACATGGAATTTTTACACAAGTCACTTGAAAATTAAAGTTGAATGATTGAAATGTGGTATCAAAGGATTCATTTTTTTTTTTCAGTCGAATGAAATAAGAAGTTCTTCGGCTGGCTGCGTTGTTGGCTGCGATTGCGGTTCTCCATTTGTTTGAGGCTGCATTGAATATTGAATGTTTTGGACAGGTTGCTCCAATATCATCTCATCTAAATAAAATTCGTGATGAAAAAATCAGTTTTACAAAGGACAAAATGTACGCCTTAAAGTTATTGTATTATTGATGGTCTTCCCATATCCTCTCTCTCGCTCCCTAATTTACATTATGCATGTAAACATTACACATATTATATATACAAATGAGACCATCAAAATCCAATAATCGTGAGCTGGAATAAGAATTTTACTAACTTGACAAAGAATACGGTGAAAAAGGCTGTATTATCCGATTATGTTGATTTAGAGTTGCTGGCACTGTCGTTGATGGTATAAAACTAGGCTTGTGCTGCTCCTGAGGAGTAAGTTTTTGAAGTCCAATATTAGCTGCGGTAGCCTGAATTTGCTGCTGCTGTTGCCCACCTGGAAGTGTAACAGCAGGTTCCAACTGCTGCTGAAATCATTTTCGTCAATAAAAGCAAACCGTGTCATATCACAAGTCTTCCAAGTGCACGTTTCCCAGCTTTGTCTTTCATACTGAACCAGGCTTATATAAATTATCCATCAATATTTAATGTATTAATGCATAGAGAAATTTACAAGTTTTTACACAAAAAAAGTCACAAATCATAGGAAGAAACTAAGTACCTGATATATGGGATAAGCTCGTGAAACGGAAGACTGCGAAGCAACACTGTAAGTTGGCGTATTATTGGCTGCAAGTTGTGATGAATACTGAGCTGCATTCAACTGATAATTCGATGTTGATATATCCGATTGTTGTTGCTCTTGTAGTCGCTGCACACCTAGCGAACCCTATTAATGCAAATATCATAAATAAAAGAACCACTAAATTTAAAAACAAGAATTGTTAGAATTTATAGGGCTAGAATTTTTTTCTTCGAGAAACCAATTCCTGATAAAAACTCAATTCATGTGTAAAATGTTAAGAATTAAATCACCTGGTCAGCATACGGATGAATTGATGCATAATTTGCAATGTTCGAACCCTGCTTAACTGTTGCAGCTGTGATATTATCCTGCACCATGTGTGCACCAGATGGATAACTCTGTGCCGCCGCTGTTATTGGCAAGCCATAACTTAATTGTGCTTGATCTACATAGGCGGTCGGCGGATAACCTAAGGATACTTTTATGATGTTCTAATAGTAATTCTTGAATTGAAAGCCAATTTAATATGCTGAACAATTTAACTTGGTGTAGTACACGTAATGAGATTTTATATAACTAAAGGGATTTGCTTCTTCTACGGTGACAAAATTTCAATTATCACTTTACCAAGGTCCGGCTAAAAACATCACTGCACTGTTATAAATGATAAATCTCTTTTACAAATCGCACAAGCAAAAAGATATATAGAACTGACTCTGAAATGCAAAAATTTTGGATCTCATAATACCCCAAAAGTAAGTTGAGGGTCACATTAAAAGATGCAGATTGCTTTACCCACGTGTCACTATTTCTATACAACCCAATGTGAATATTAACAAACCAGGGGGAACACCACTCCCTTGCATGACAACTTGATTAGGCTCAGTAACCATTTGATTATAATGTATTTCCGCAAGCTGACCAGCAGGATTCATTTGAGCAGTTTGTCTCATCATTTGCATCCGTTTCATTTGCATTTCCCGTTCCTGCTGCTGGAAACGCAAAAGTGCCAATTGGCGTTGATGCAGTATCATCTCCTGTAATCAAAACACCATATCAGAAACACGCAATAACTTAAACGAAATAAATTAAATAAGGGCCTATAAAAAAAGAAAGAATGCAATGTCGTATATTCGAAAGATCATAACTTTTGAGGAAAATTCAGAAGATACAAGTTGAACTATCTTCCTCCCCACCCCCTCGCCAAAAAGAAAAAAAAAACTAACATGTTTCTTTTGCCTCATTAAATCCACCTTCTGTTGCATTTGTATCTGTTTCAGGCGCTGTTCTTCCATAATTCTTGCCTGCTTTTGGCGTTCATGGTCCTCCCTTAGAGCATCTATGGCTTGTCTAGCTTCCTGGATATGAGCTAAACTATCTTGAAGAGATTCAAAATGATCTGAAAAAGGAGAATGTGGTGTATAATGATAAACAAAATTACTCATTTACAGATCGCAAAGCAACTTGTTAATGCTCTTAGTACTATCAAATGCATTAAAGTGAACAAACTTCTTTGATCTTCTAGTTTATTCATGCGTGCCATTACTTGGGCATGCATTTCAGTCAAGCGTATAAACAACGACTGTATTGCAGTATCGTTGACAACAGAACGGTTTCGGGCAACGTTGGAACGAATTCGATTATCCATAACAGTAACCTGTGAACAACAAACCATTTGCAAACATAAAACGGAAAGAAAAAAGTATAAACAAAAATTTATTTGACACTACTTTTTTTACCAATATCCATACGGGGTAAAGAAAAAGATTTCAGCGCGTTCTCTTCTCTCTCCTAGAATGTTCTCTTGTTCAAAATGTACCTGTTCCACTAGCTGCCGACAAAATTCCATTGTTTCTGCTGTTTCTTCTTCTTCAGCACTAATAAAATGAGATGCAGCGGTAGTATCACTTTCCAGCTGTTTTGTGGTTGAAGCAAATGAAGGTGCAGCAAATGAAACAGTACCATCACGATCATGACTAGGTGCACAACGCGATGACTCACTCGGTGGTGGTGCAGTTGGTGTTGATACTTTCTGATGACAGTCATTGGTGGACACCTAAAACAGAATCTGTTTGCTAGCCATTAGGTGCATCCAGTAATTTGAAAAAACAAGAAAGAGAAAAAACACTGTTATGGACAAGGTATATATATCATTCATAACCAACATTGACATCTAAAGAGCACAAAAATACCGCATTTAGTTGTTCATTTTTTCTCTGTTGCCAATAGTCCCGATTTAAATACCTCGCCAATTCTGGATCTACATAAGCAGCACCTGACGATATTGGTGTGTCGCCCCCTGAACAAAAATTCATATTAAATTCAAAGCATATTACTACTACTACCGTTTAATTATTCATATTTAATTTAATTCAAAAATATGAAAATATTACTATTACCGCTCACCAGATCTTAGGATACAACTTTATTCGTAGATATTTTCTAGTAAAAAAAACAAAAAAAGTACCAATAGAGGGCGCTGCTCCTTTATAAACCGATTTATTCAGCTCTCCATTATCAGCAGTTCCATTAGATTTAACATCATTTAGATTATCAGTACCATTATACAATTCATAAAGACGCCTCTGTCTTTCACGTTCCTGAAAATTTGTTTCTTCTTGCTTACTACTGTGTTTTGATAGTTAAGCCTAGTTTCATGCAGTTATTCTATCTCAGTGCATTCTTATAACCTAAAGAGTGTTAGGGAGGGTGAGAGTGGGGGGGGGGGGGAAGGGGAGGGGAGAGGATGAGTGGGGAGAAGGGGTTGAGGCCTAATACTGAAGTAATATTGAAGAATCCGATGAACTAATCCCGTCTTTTCTGTTACAAAAGGACTAAATAAAATTAATACAGAAAATGATGTAAACTTATTGCTTTTATAGTCCAAACTTTATTCCCAAAATAATCCGTAGGTAACGAAGATGAACCTGTGCCTCTGCTTCTGATTGACTCAGTGCAATAGCCAAGTTAATTTCATCTTCTTCAGCCTGCTTTAATTCACGAGCCCGCTGTTCAGCTGTTTTCTGCGCATCAACAGATGATTTATCAACTTTGGATGACAGCGGTACCAAACTTTGCGAACAACTGACATCAGTTTTTTTCGTTGCTGTCTTCTCATAGCATCCATCACAAACTCTTACCTGGAAAAATTCTTTTTCCCTAAACTCACAAATCATCTTGTCTTATTCGAATGAATAAACAAAAGGTGACAGCCTCAAACGGAAGTGAAGAGCTGAATTGTTTTACAATTCGTTAGGGTAGGATTCAAAGATGAAACTGGATGAAACAATAGGTGAATCAAGTATTTAATTGGGATATTTAAAAACCAAATTCCTTTTTTTTTTTTTTTTTAAGTTGCGGAGCGTTCGTATTTACCTGCTTTTCGATACCATACTGAGGTAAAAAACTTTGTTTACTGCTGCACCTGTCGCAAAATATTTGTCCACAAGCACGGCAATGATGTTTACGTGTAATGATTCCAAAAGCTGTTCGACATCTGTAATTAAAATGAATGACAGATAAAAATAAGCACACTGTATATGGTTCATATCATTCTAAAGGAGACACTGAAAATTCGAGTAAATCCAAAAAAAAATCATAATTTTTACCTGAAACACTCCTCTCCATCTGCCCATTCTGGTGCACTTTCCGCAATAAACATCGCATCTGCTTCCGCAACATGCGGAAAATCAAAACCCGCTAGTTTCATTAAATTATGGGTGTCAACTACAATTTTATATTCTGGTTTATTTTTGAAAGCCAAAGCCCAACACTGAAGCAATTCCAGTATTTTGTTCTTAACCTGAAAATACACTCACTCATTTCTCTATGGAATTTGAATTTATCTCTTCCTAAAATTTAGTTCTAACATTAACCCAACTTTGTGCAGCTAAACAGGGCAGCCTGGAAAAACAGCAAGTGAGATGATGTTGTGTAAACGGGAAAATTTTTAATATACTTTACTACGACTACCCCATGGTTACCTGTAACACGCCTTCTGATGATTCCAACCGATAATGTGTGCCACCATACCCAATTCACCTGATACTCGAGTTATCCCATTTGACTTACAATTTCACTGTATTTTAACCAGCTCTCCGCTAGACGAAGTATGGTAAGACATTCTATACTGCTACTCATTCCTATGATAAAAGCTCTTATTACATACAGAAGAGACTGCTAGAAATTGTTTAAGAGAAATAAAGGCCAAATTTCTGACTGACCTTATCTGGTGTTGTATCTAGTGAGAGATTCTTCAAATCTTCCATAAAATCCCTTGTTGCAATTTCAGCATGAAACTGTAATAACCAACATAAGATGACTAAAAAAAATTTTTTTTTTGAAAAGATTCAATTATGTAATGTGGAACTGCATGAAGAAAATACCTTGACACCACAGTTTTTCATGCATGCTTCCAAGACTAATAATGCATGATGAGCCACATGCGGATTTTCGTTATGGTACCTCTTCCTAATTGCAGCTGCGGCGGCTTTTACGCTACAAATTTGCAATTCAAGCTTTCCAAGAAGTATTAAAATGAAACACATAACTACATGGGTATAATATACGGATGAAAATCGGAAATAAGAATTTTTGGCCATTAATCAAGTTTCGATTGCTAACACTTCAAAAACTTTTTAAAGTCAATCTTAATCTTGTTAGATCGGTAAGATCAGTTTCACAGCTCTTCTTATCATACACGAATAATCATTTATCCCGTTTCTCGCTAACATATGTTTTTAAATATATCCTAATAATCAGAGGTACTTACGGCACTTCTCCTCCACGTATTAAATCAACACATTCAATAATGGCATCCCAGTTTGGGTCAATAAGCGTCGAATCGGTGGCTTTATCTAAAACAGAAAAAATAGGAAAATCATTCCAATGCAATATTTGAAACTGCTAATTTAAAACTACCAAGGAATTTGCCAACTTTTAACTCCTTCTTCTGATTATTCCAGTAAAGCGACATTAATTTTATATGAAAATAAATGCAAACACTTATTTCAAGAAGTGGTCTCTAAAATTATGATGAAAAAAAAAAAAAAAAAAAAAAAAAAGAATACCCAATTGACGTTCAAAACGTTTTGCCATCGATATAGAGTTCACCGATGTATTATACAAGTCTGAAACATTCGAATGTATAGGATATATGTGAAGACGCTACTGAAGAACAACTGATGTTAGCATTGTAAAACGCCGAAATTATGCATGCATAGTGATGAAATCTACAATTTCTTTTCAAAATCATGTTTTACGATTTCTCTTAGACCAGGACCTAGTCATACTGAAAAGCAAATCGAGAATGACAATATTCTCGGCCAAGACAGATCTAGCCTTGATTTTTTAACATATCTTCATTTATAATGAACTACAAAAAAAGGGATGATCACCCGAAATGCGGAAGTAAAAGTACAAGTGGAAACCCAATATTAACTTCCCCTTCCTTCTCTTCTGTAAATATGAAGATGTGCCATTTCATCTATTCAAAAGCCACAACATATAACAACCAACCGGTCTCGATATTATCCTTACGAAATCAGTGGGCCGGTTGCAAACCGACTTTTCCTTTTGTCTTTTCGAGAAATTTGTATTCTATGAAAATCTCCTCAATATGCACAGTGTTTCTTGCCCGTGTTTATTCAGTCATTTGTAATATAAAATGCATTGTTCCTAAGTATATGGAATATCAGGGATTTTTGGTAACAATTCCTCGCATCAATTTTTCCATATAGTAGCATACAGACAGTGGTGCTGTATAATAGTATATCCATTGGGAGGAAAATAAAAAGAAAGCCAATTCTCGAGAACAAAGAACTGGGAACTAGGATCTTCCGGTCAATAACATTTTTCTTAAATGATTTTGCATTTAAACATATCCAGTAGTTTCATACGGTTCCTTTCGATTGATCAGTAATTGACACTTAATCAAACCCTTCGTTTCCACAAGAAAACTATAGTTAGATCACAAAAGGTGGCAATATTTTCCGAAGGTCCATCTTTCTTTGACATTACCGAAAATTTTACTGCAGTATACTGCCAAGGAGTTCCGGAAAGGATAGCAGAGAGAGTTTATTTAGAAAATTAAAATGTTATCCTAATATGCTCTCTTCATACAAACTTTAGGATATCGTTTATTTGCAACTCTTAAACTGTCATCTACTTTTAAATCACGTAAACTTTCATATTTTGTCTTCTGTGATATGCTCAGTAAACAAAGAAAAAAAAAAAAAAAAAAACGAAAACAAAAACCTACTGAACAACTGACGGAGTGTTTAATGCGATGTGTCTCCCTCCGCGATGTACTACGTATTTGTATGTGTATAGGTACGTGTGTATTTGTTTGTATGTGTGCATGTATGTATGTATGTATATTTATATATATATATGTGTGTGCGTGCGTGCGTGCGTGTGTGCATACCGACACTGTCATTTTCAAGAGCAATTGGTTCTGATTCATTATCACAAATAATGCCTTGATGCTGGTGTTTCCCTCTCCTGTGGTTCGCTGAATCGATGTATATTTTATAAGCCTCTTTTTTATAATTTTACGTGACACACTGATTAAAATAATTCATTCCTTTTGTTCATCCGTCATTATCTCTTCATTTTTCCGCGTCCATTCTTCATAGTTCCATTCTGTTCTATCTATTTAGTTGTCCATTTATCCGTCCCTTTCATCTGTTTATACCATATAGCACCACATGGCTAATTTTTTTTCCTAAAACATATGGCACCGATTTGTTCGCTTCATTTTCATGAAGTTAAGCATGATATATGCCATGGTGAGAAAAGTCAAACAAGCTAATTGAAAGAATTTCGTCCATGCTGGTTAGATAAATCACTACCTTGATCAAAGGAGAATGAAAGAGTCGGACAAGATGCGACGATTTGTCAGACATGTTCGATGTATATTTCGAATACAGTCTAGTCCTTGTGGAAATATTTGTTAAGACTAACTACTTTCAGCCTAGTTTTTACCTAAATTACGAATTGTAAAGTTCCCTCAGTATGACTCCTTGTCCAGAGGTTGACGCATATTACATACTTAGGAAGTGTCATTTCGCCACAAACTGTTTTCAGTTCCAACTGAAATTGGTGACATGTTGGAACTGTAGTAGTTTAGACAAAAACTTCATATGGTCTTATACATGGGCGAAATAATGGGTCACGAGTGAATGATTATTCATTTCGAGCTATTATGCTAAGTAAAAGAGAGCCTGAAATGCCGCAGGATTCATTTTAATATTACCTGCTTAAACCTAAGAACATATTTTAGGCGTAATCTTACTGAATCGGAATAAGTGGGACATTCTTTTCTTTTTTAATTCCAGGTTCTCATTAGAATATGGATCCCATAGATATTTAACACATGTGTACTATCTCCAAGCTTTATTATTGTTGGTGCATGCAGGGAGCTTGCTTTTTTTTTTCATTTAATTTTCTTTGTTCCTTCTTTTTCTCTTTAAAAAAAAATGAAAGAAAAAACAAGGACCTGAAACACGTTACTCTTGATGACGTCGTCAATCAGTCCTACATTCCGTTGGAAATTGTTCATCCCATCATCTCCAACCTGATTCCTGTTAGTATCTGGCCGACTGGTACTCTGCGGTTCATACGTATGCTGGTAATGAGTGTTGATCTGTTCATTTGTGAATCGAAAAGTTCCGTGAGTTTCCATGACTTTACGTTGCGTAGTCTAGGTGAAATCCTCTTGATTGCTATGAATTCTCGGCAATGTTTTACTGTTTGGATCAGTTGTGCAAACAACTTAAACCTGGACTCCAGAAACGTGTTATTTTGAGGGGCTCGAAAATTTTGAATGTGGCATACGAATGGTTACATTCGAAATAGGCATGTTTTACTTTATATCGTCAGGAAGTTCTTCTGCTATGATAGAGTTGAACCGAGCGAGTTAATGAAAACGTCATTTTACTACCTGCATATAAAATAGTGTAGCATTAAACACAAATTCCCCTTACTAATGAGTAGTAATTAGTGTTGAAGTTAATACTGCAGTCAGCTTTTGTCAGACCTCTTATTCTGAAAGTGTCGAAAAACTGGAAATGCAGGCAGCATGCTCCGCTACTATGGTTGCTCAGGAGTAATCTGAAAAAAGCGGAATGTATCGCGTGGTTTTATAAAAAAAAGTAATGTGCTAACTATTGTGTACGGAATTATAGCTAAATATCCAGGGAATTTATGACAAATAGCTGTTTGTTTTGCACTCTACGTGTCCATGTTGATAATTTCTTCTGGCAACTTAAAAGCTACAATTACAACATCGGTTATTTTTCTAAGTTACAATATTTACGGCACTTTACATTGTTTATCTTTGACCCACATAAAAAACGGATTTGATATGTATTTACAAGTAGCGATGTTGTTGATTTGTTTGTTTTGAAGCATTTGTTTATAAATATATCCATTTATAGAAGATTGTGCAGTGTTAGAAGAGCTTGTTTGTGCTTAGAAGAATTTTTGTCATTGGCCAATTTATCTTCGTTTCCTCAGGTTCATAGCTTTTTTATAAACTTCGACTTTTTTTTGCCTACACTACACCTTTTTCCATACGACTGTGTGCCATACATGGCCGTAAATTGACGTTCGGAATGGTGGAACCATCATACCATTTCCTCTACAGATCAGGTTGTTGGTAATTCGGGTTTTTTCATTTGCCTGCCAACATACAGCCATGTTCGGTCAGTTTTATAAATCTTCAAAACATTTGTCCGCTGAATCTTGATTATCATCTTTTAATCGTTGTCATCTGTGCAATTTGATATGACATTCAAGCTTAAGTTTTGAGGTAAATACATGGTATGAAAATATAAGCAATATTCGATGGTAGTGAAATTGAGTCGGATTGTTTCCCATGAAGAGGGGAAGATATTAAATTTTAAATTAGCTTATAGATATAAGCTTGTTTTCGATATTTCATTTTCTGATGAACTATATTTTTCAGGCACCGCTACTCAATATTATTTGTTATTTTTTGTATGTTTCGAAATCCCTTGCTGAAAACTGAAACTGGTATGAATTATTATCAGTTATGAACAAATTCCAGTTGTAGCGTGGCGTATTTGAAGTTACATATTGAAGTTCTGAGCCATTACATAATGCAGTTATAATCGATGTCATTTATGCATACGGTTTTGATTATCTCAGCTAGTATTTTCATTACCGCACTTAAGTTTTGTTTGTCTCTCTATACGAATTGATCCTAGAAATAGTGTAATAGTATTTGAAGTTATAGGAAAGATTTTCGTTGCTTTTTTTTTTTGTCTTTTTCATGTTATTTTCAGGCCATGTACACCTGTGGTACACCGACTGGTGCATATCAACTAGGCATACAGCATGCAGGCTTGAGTATTACACCTACAGGTCGTCCCAAAAAAAGGTGTCTATTTTTGCATAAAAGTTTTGGTTTATGCTGATTCTGGAAAGATTTAATGGACTTTTTTTTAGAGAAACCGTTCTTCCAGTATGCACATTCAAATGTAACTAATTGTCACTTTGTTCTTATTTCGCCACAGTACCACCAATTTTTTTTTTTTGTATTGAATAATTCTTAATGTCTGGTACACTTTTTCTTTAAAAAAAAGTTCCTATACATATATTCTGTTTATGTTTCCACGACTATTGCAGACCGCCAAACACAGGTGCCCTTCTTTTTAACTCAGTCGAAAACGGTATGCTTTTTTCTTTGCTTGGACATGACTGTGTCTCATTAGCAGCAGGTGTTGTACAGTTGCTGAAATCTGATCCACGGAATCCAGGAGTATGGATCAAAGCTCACAGAGGAGTGGTTTCGCTTGTCAAGGACTATGATAAAAGAGCATATTTCCTACGCTTATATGATATTTATAGGAAACAGTATCTTTGGCAACAAATGTTGTGAGTTATTCAGTTTCTTAATTCAAAAAAAAAAAATTTACTGTAGGGTTTAGAGTGGTTTTTCTTGATGTAGAAGACATTTTACAAGTTAAAAAACCATTTGAGTTCATTTATTAACTTTGCGACATCTCTTTTTGATGTGTTCTTTCAACAATTTTTATAGCTTTTTACGACTTTGGTAATTTTGAACAGTTCATTTTAAGGGGTTTTTTTTACATTTGTTAGTTCAGGTATAAGAATTTTCACGCATCACAACCATTGGGATGTCCTCATCTTCTAACATTCGAGGGAGATGAATGCGTGTTTGGTTTGAATTTTTCGAGTAAGGAAGAAGCATTCAGCTTTAAGTCCCACCTTGATAAGCGCTATGAACAGGAAAAAAAGTCTCGTAAGTTTTTCAGGCATCATTTCTGCATTTCATAATTTTTCTTTGATATATTTTTGAACCATGAAAGCTGATTAACAATTGCTGTTCCGTTTTAAGACTTTGAAATAATTTTCGGCAATAAATTCAAAAACCTATCTTTTTAAATAGAAGAAAAAGAGAAGATGGTAACTAGTGGCGGCTCACAGAACATTTCTGGGTCGCTTCTACCCTTTGGTGGCCGAACTCATGCAGTTTCGGCAGTACATAGGACTGGCATTACTAGTATGGGCACCGTACCAAATATTGGTGGCGGCGCATGGACAAATTTTGTGACGATTAATAGAACCAAAAAGAAAAGTTCAAAAAAAGAAAAGAAGCAGAAGATTCGGAAGGAGGACATTAGCAATCCAACAAATTTTCAGTCAGTTTTTCTTATATTTCACGGACTTCATTTGTATTTGCCTTTCGTCCTTTTTAAAGAATTTAATTTGAAAACTTTATTTACTTCTATCATTTTATTTAGTCCTGAAAGAACTTTTCTTTATATGCGCTAAGCATCAAAAATGTTGCTTAAGGATGCATGATTCCTAACATATGATTCGCACCCATCGGTGATGGAATTGTTGCACTAAAGAAGTAACTAAAGATTTTTCTAGGACGTTTATAATTCTTGACAATTATCAAACATTAACTACTATTAGGAGTCTCATAGTTGTCATTTTTACTGAGCCATACTCTTAAGGCATTTGTATTATATTTTGTTGTAATATTATGATACTGTAGACACAAAGCACATCTTGGGTGGAATCAAGATGGTGGTTTCTCACAAGAAACGTACAACTATGATCCAATGGATGATAGTGTGAAGGCTGTGTTGCGCGCTGCGGGAGAGAATCCGGAGCGAATGTCCAAAGATGACTTGGAATTTTCGAAAAAATTTATTACTGGCTACCAAGAGGTTCCTAAACTACAGCAGCCGTCAGCTCCAATGCATCACAACTATCAGAGGTGATTTCAAAATTTTGGACTTTTCATTCACGACGAATTTTCTTAATTACTTTGTAAGATAGACACTTTTATTTAGGACATTTTGCATTTTTCAGGCCTTTTATGACCTCCTCAATTATCAATTCTTCAACATTATCACCAGTTCCGCCGCCACCACCTCCGTTGTTACGTCGTGAAGGATTTCATATTACTCCAGTCTCAAGACCGCCGCTGAAACCACCAGCTTCCAGCAAGCCTCCAGCTAGGCCTTTGCCACAGGTCGAATGAATTTTCTGTAAAAGTTTCAGGAAGGTTCTAAAATTTTGAACTTCCAAGCAAAGAAATAATTACCAAGTACAACTATCTTTGCTTTCTGGATAAAGAAAGTTTTATCTTAGCTTTTTTTAGCCACCGGGTGCAATGAACGGGACATCAACTACCTACCGACCAAATGATGTACCCCCACCTCCTCCACCGCCACCACCACCGTCAAGTTCTACGTACTCGGTACCGACGGCAGCACCTCCTTCATCAGTTTCTACAAATTCTTCACTCGCACCACCTCCACCTCCTCCTCCACCGCCACCACCACCACCTCCTGTAACGTGCGCCAGTGGTACAATACCTCCGCCTCCACCACCTCCGCCATCTTACACTTCGACAGCCAGCAATGGTGGTGGAGGGAAAGCAAGTTTGCTTAGTGTAAGCAGTTTTTCTTTCGGTTACAACTTCGTATGTAGTGAGGCATTTCGTTATACCTTTTTTTTAACTGACAGAATCTATTGCACTATGTTATGGATTCTCGGTATATTGGGGTTTTGAATGAGACTTCGGTTCTCAGAGATTTTTTTCTCACCACTTATTTTCATTTCATTTCTTCAGGAGATACAAGCGGGAGTTACTTTAAAACAAGTGACAACAAACATCAATCATGATAACAGTATTACCGATGCACGCGATGAAATGATGGCACAAATAAGGCAAGGAGCCAATCTAAAACCTGTTAGTATTAGCTTTCCTACGGTGAAAATTTGATAATTACAGTTAATTCATCTGATTTTAGTATTTTCATGTTCAAATTAGTAGTTATGTAAATAATTTATTGCAGATAGACAAAGAAGAGATTGAAAACCGGAAATCAGTACCAAATTCTACGGATGTAGCTGGAATTGCAGGTGCATTAGCTCGAGCTTTAGAAGAAAGGCGTAGGAATATGCGCAATTCAGATGGTTTGTTTTTTCTTCTTTTTAATTATTCTTTATAACAATGCCATGCAGTTCTGACTAAAAAAGCTAATGTTTGTACTGATTCATTGTGCTGATCACTCGGTAGTGGAACATTTGAAACAGAAGAGGAAAGTGGGAAGTTTATTCCGGGAAGAGAATTTCCGCTTTCTAACTTGCTAGAGATGTATAAATGTCAACTCGAAAAACCTTAATTTTGCAGAGTCGGAATCAGAAGAAGAAGCTAATAACAACGACAGTGAATGGGAATCAGATTGAAGTCTCATGCTACCACAAGTTTGAAGGTATGGGTGAGGATGTACTGTTGAATTATTTTTCTGTCAATTCTTTAATATGCAGTAGCTTGTGATGTATCGAATTATGATGTAATATGTGAAATATTAACTTTAAGAGGCCAGTGTACGGAGTGTAATTGTGGTACAACCGGAGGATATAATGCATTGACTGAATCACCTAATATCTATTTTGTTGGTTTTTCGATTTTCACGTTTCATCATGTTTACTGCACACTTGTCCTGCCGAGCTTTTTATTTGAGAATTCCTGCCCATTTCGAAATATAAATTGATATAAGCTATCAAGATTCAAAATAACAACTTCAGTTAAACATTTCGGAGAATAACGTATGTCACAGATGGTTTAAAGGATGGTTGGTAGTTAAATATATATCGGACAGTGAATGTTCATTAGCCACATATATTCTCTGTATTCTTTTCACTTGCAATTGAACTTTTGTTTTTACTCCCAAACGAATCTTTTCGTTTATTATTTAATATTTGTGCTCAATTTTCATCTTGTACTGTATCTTTGGTCATATATATAATCAGTTTAAAAATATGGTTGTGAGTAACAAGCATTTGAAATTTTGTGACTTTCTATAACTTTCAATCTCGAGAATTTCTTGAAGCAAAACTTTGTAAATGTATATGTGGTTTATATGCTGCTGCTACTACGCACCGTTAATTTATTGTATCTTTCATGAATATGAACGTATTTGTTCCCTTTTGTCTTAATATTTTATTTCGACTTTTTTCATTTTTCTTTCTTTTTCTTTCTGTTTCCCCAGTGAAATGTCGTGAAATTTAAATTTTATGGTTTGTTTTGTTATGTATTAATGTTTGTAAGCCCCTCCGATGGAGTTTCTCATTTCTGAAATTATGGACATGAATTTTGCCATCAATTCGGTATAGGTTGGATGTCATCCAGGTCGCATTGTAATTGGAGATATCCCTAAGAGAGCGTTGAGGTCGTGAACTTTGAGCTTTGGAATGTCCCACATCTACTGGCCCATTTGTGAGGCTTACTTGATACGAAAAATAACTGCTGTTGTATGCCAGGATGAAAAAAAGATGTGATAACTGGTGATTGTAAAAGAAATGCTAAATTATTCAACTTTCACTTTATAACAATTATCTCGGTCTTGCTGTAACTAATATAATAAAAGAGACCATCATTAAAGAGAAGTGGAAGATCTGTATTTACTCATTAACGTCGTCCCAAAACCATCCGATGCAACTGACTCTTTTCGGAAAAGGAGGGTTGAGTTCTGCTATGATATGATTGTTAGCGGTATCAGTGTTTTGGTAACATATTGCTAATAGTGCATGCCAACAAGTCTTTTGCACTTGTTTTCGTCATACAGTCTCTATGGTTTCCTGACGTTTATACTCTAAAAGATAACAACGAATAGGGACAGAGTTCCCGGTTTACACGGTATTTCCGAAAGTGGCATTGACTTGGTAGTTCATGTTCATATATATGAATGCTTTTGAATTATGGGCTCGCTGTGTTTGTCTACTCTACAATTCAAGAGAATTCGTATGTGTGAAGATGAGTGGTGGTGATGTACAGGTGTAATTTACGCGTACACCTGCTACAACAGGTTCCAGGAGTGTACCGCACAATCTGTAATTTCGTGACGGGTAGCTGCTTCGACCGGGACGAGCGATCCTTCCAGTTTCTTATGCTCACATAACCGTAGCCATAAAGTCTTTGAGAGTCTGTAACTTCGTATTTTACGGTCCGGTGCGGGGATTAATCGTCAGTGGCTGCTGCTAGAGTGAGTTAGTGCGGTCGTGTGACTCGGTTGGCTGTACTGATTTCGTTATCTGCATGATAAAATGATAAGCCGGACTGCTTTTGGAAATTTCTATCGATGTGGGGAAGGTTGGTAAATGCGGGAATTCATGGAAGCCGCTGTTGAGTTCCCGGTAAATTGTAAAGATAAGTGCGGGAAAAGTTATTCAATTTTAAGGAAAGGCAATGGATTCTATCGATTCCCACGTTGCGATTGTTTCCTTTTGTCTGTGGTGATTATCATTACAAAAGGAATAGGAATGAATACCAAAATATCTCAAAACGCTGAGATATACTTAAGTTAGATGGAATACGGCAGAGTTGTATTTATTATTGCACTCTGTAACACTCTAGTACTACTTTTAAATTGGGAAAGTTGTTTTTTAGGTATTAACCAGATGGGACAATTACTAGGTCGATCAAGCGGCGAGACAGAAGCTAACGATGTGGAGATGGTTGCTGAGTCTACACGAGCTAGTCCTTCACGCAAACGTAAAACTACCGGTGATAATGAGATGGAAACGAAGAAAAAAAAAATTAGCAAAGTACGCATGATAGATTTTGAAGTTTTCATTATTAGTAGTGTTAATGATGTTAAGATTGTCTGTTTTGGGGAGGAGATAAAGTTTTGACCGAAGATATATCTGTGGGTTGTCTTCTTTTGTGACATTAGCTTAGTGAAGTCCAAAAAGAGGCTTATCATTCATTATTTTGTATCGCTAAGTTAAGCTACTGCTTCCTAAGTAAGCATAGGAAGTAGATATAAGATTTAATTTTTTATGCATCTGTTGCATACATATTTGACAATTTCATCGAAACCAGTAGCTTCCCAAGTAATTAATTTATGTAAATAGCAATATTTAGTTGGATACTGCGAAATATATTCATAAACGATTATTCGTTGATGGTGCCAAGTCGGATATAACAATTTGTGCATTGGGACGGACATGGAATCTCCATAGACTTTATTTGGAACAATGCAAATTTTTTGACAGCTTGTTCAGGTATGCTTACTTATGCGACCCTGACAGAAATAATTCTATTGTCGGGAAATAACCATATAATTTTCATTAGAATAATAAGTAGCCAAAATTAACTATTCCAGTGCTTCTCTTTAATCTTTGGCAGAAAGCAAAAAACTTTACCAAAGTAGCCATTGGATTCTTTTCCATAAATTTTTTCTTCTCTCTACAGCTGTGCACATATCGTTTCCTTTAGGGGGCACTGGAAGGATAGCAATAATGCAGTTGTGCAGATTGATGTTGTCGATCCGAATGTCACAGTCGAAGGTTAGCTTTTTATTGCTCTTTCCGTTGATACAGATTTTGTTTTCTATCAGATTTCATCTTTTTCATTCATTAGAAACGTCAATTTTTCTAAGTAATGGTAAAGCAGTCGGAAAAATAAGGAGGAACTCAATAGTTATTAGAAGGCTGTGTCACACTCACAAATTTTTTTTTTACTTTTTTAGGATTTAATATGGTTTTGGAATCATTGTATCACAATGAAATTGAACTGGATTTAGAGAATGTTGCAAGTCTTGTCGCATCAGCTTCAATGCTCAGCTTGGTAATTTTGTGTTTCCATTAGGCCAACAGGAGACTCCTCTTTTGTTCTGTAAATGGCGTTCAGTTTCCTTCATTTTTTTTTTCATTTATTTGTTTTTTCTTTTATTGAAGGATTCATTCAAAATTCATAATATTCCATTTTTACACTTTTAATTTTAATACAAAGGTTTCTCATAGCTTATTGCAGTTTCATAATTGATTTCAGGATAGTGTTATGGAGCGTTGTGCTGAATTATGTGCTGAATCACTCACTGATGAACGAGTACTTGAGTTCTATGCACTTGCCGAGCAGTACGGTCTTCTGGATTTATTCGAAAAGTGTTTTCAATATTTAAAAAATAACTTTTGGCGCTTATCTAACAAGCCAGAAATTCTTCATACAGTCAGGTTATTATTTTTTGAATTTAACCGAAAATTTATTGTTCTCTTTTTTTTTCTGAAGGATGTGTATTCAGGTATTATTGTTTTTTTATGAAATGTATGTATTCAAATCTGTGGTAAGCATATTCACAAACTTACATAGTTTCGATAAATTAAGTGAATGGATAAGGTGGTTTCTGATTATAACGCTAGTTATTTTCCAGTCACGTGACAATGGTAAAGTTGATGGCTGCATCAGATTTGTTGGTCGTTGAAGGAGAACTTGATCTGTATGAAACAATCAAAAAGGTACAAAATTTTATAGTTGGGATTATCACGACTGCTTGGTCACTGAGTCCTTCGAACCACAGTGGTGAATTTAATAACTTATTCATATTGGCAAGGAGATATATGTTGTCAGTTGTCAGCTTTTTCCAGTTTTTGGTCAATTAATCGATATTGCATATTTTTATGGCATTGTTTATAGATTTCGGATAATTTCGATGACTTCGTTTATAGATTTTGAATAATTTCGACGACTCATTAATCAGCTCAGTTACTTTCAGTGGATCTTTTTGCAAGCAGTTCCTGATGTTATGGACAATAATAAAATGCGTACTGAGATGGAGAAATATTATTCCTCATTGACGGATAGAGATAGGGATGCGTTGTGCCGTACTTTTGCTGATATAACTTGTAATATCCGTGTCGGACACATTGTTTCATCTGTAAAAACGATCAACGATTTGCGAAAAGATCCACTTGTTCCAAATGAAATTATTGATCAAGTGCTTGCCGACAACTGGTTTTTACTTTTGTGTAATGAAGAAATGAAAGAGTAAGTTTCTCTAGGTGAATTCATTTGTCGAATTTTATTTTTATCGTGTTTTACAGTAAAGATTTAGGATAAGGTTCAAGTCCTATTTTACATTTTAAAGTATCGTGGTGTACTCCGTTTTCCTCCCAATCTGAAACACTAGGAATCTTTGTTTTTTCTCACTGGCAAGCAGAACTATATTTAAATTAATAGTTTTTCCACGTAGACTATAGGAACTTGATAATTCAGGTAATTTAAATATTGTTCACATTGACTGATTGTTTCAAATAAAAAAAAGTTTTCTGCAAATTTTTTTGCTTGCAAAATAAGAAAATACCTTCCAGACAAATCGAAATTAGAGATGAAGATTTCCACCTTAACGCCCATCGATTGGGACGAGTACTTGATTCGATTCCAGTATGTCTTTTTTCTTGTTTGT